TTTTTTTTTTTAGTATAAATTGACCACCAAAAAACAGTTGCACGAAGTTTTGAGATGGAGAACAACGAAGAAGCAAAAGTGAAGGGAGAAAGTTGTTTAAAAAAACGATATTTTATTCTTGGAATGTTCATTGCTGTATCAGCATCCAGTGGATTTCAATGGATTGAATACTCAATAATTGCTCATACAATAGTTAAATTCTATAATGTTAGCTATATGTGGGTTGATTGGACTTCGGTTATTTATATGGTTGCTTATGCTATCTTGGTAATACCTGCCAGGTGAGAATATCATTTTCAGCTAGAGCCTACTTTTTTTTTTTTTTTACATTTTATATTACTCTGAACGTTTTAATGACAATTTTATACACTACAAAGCTAAATGGTTAAGAAGAGTCTAGCTAATGACGTATGATGCGGTTGAATTGCAGTTGGTTTATGCACAAGTATGGCTTACGAAAAGCGATAGTTATTGGAGCCACTGGTAACTGCATTGGATCAGCTATCAAATTTGCTTCTACTAGTTCTGGTTAGACTTAAAATCTTCACTTTAGTTTTTTTTTTTTTAGAGAATTTGATCAAACAAGCTGCTATTGTGTATCTTAAATTGGCTCTATATAATTTAATATTTAGCTTCCCAAAGTTGCATATTAACGAGTTTTTTTTTTTACAGATCAATTTTGGGTATCATTTTTGGGACAAACCATTGTCGGGTCATCACAAGTTTTCTTTCTTGGTGCACCGCCACTGTTGGCAGCAATATGGTTTGATCCTAAACAAATGTCAACAGCCTGTGCTGCAGGAGTGTTTGGAAATCAGGTTTATTTGAGCAGCTGATATTATGTTTCCGTTTTTTGGTTTTATTGTCTAAGCAAAAAAAATTTTTAGCGGGGTAATACACAGAAAGCTATATGTTAAAATTTTTTAAACTTCCAGAATTGATTATATGAACAAACTGAAAATGGTTTTTCAGTTAGGTATTGCTCTTGGATTCTTGATACCACCTTTGGTGGTTAAGCCAAATACTGTGGAAACTATTGGGGAAGGCCTACACAGTCTTTTCATGATGTCCGCTATTGTTAACACTGTGATATTCGCTTTTATTTTTGTTTGTAAGTCATCTGTGCATGAATAATTTATTTCTACTAATATTTCAAAATATTCATTATTAGAACCTCAAACGTCAGGTAATTTTTCTTTACACAAATTTTCAAATTATTAGAAGAGTCATAACGTTTGACGGCTTATCAAATTCGTAGACATTTGTGGCTGTTATCGCTAAAACTTATTTTTCTTTTTTTTTTTTCAGTTTTTTCTGAAAAACCACATCACAAAGGAAATTTAAGACTGAAGAATGTCCGTAACGCTGAGGGTGCTGTTGACTACTTCACATCATTGAAAAAACTTTCCAAAAATCCCAGTTTTGTTCTGCTGTTTTTATCCTACGGTACAGTTTACAGTTTTTTTGAACATCATTTGCTTGAAGAGTTTACAGAAACTTGTCTTTTGTTTTATTACAGGTATTAATGTCGGGGTTTTCTATGCACTTTCAACATTTTTAAGTCAAATTGTTTTGTCATATTATCCCAACGAGCAAACTCGCACTGGTATGCCACCTTTAAGTTCTTGTAACAGTAGTAGTTCTGATAATTAGTTTGTGTAGGGGGTTATTACTTCTCGCACTTATTTGCATCAAACTTGCAGTCATTTAAATGGCTTTGAACTTCTCTTTTTTTTTTAAATTACCTTGTGTGGCTCTAATTTCAGGTACCATAGGATTGCTGATTGTGGTTGCTGGAATGTTTGGCTCGGTGGCCGGTGGAGTTGTGCTTGACAGATTTCACCTTTACAAGTAATGATACAGTATTGCAGTATTGAACGTGTAATAACGGTTTTTTTTTGATAACTTTTATGGACTGTTGATAAATTCTGTAGTGAAACAATGAAGAAAAGCTCATGAATTTCAGAATTACTACAGTAACTGTGTATACGTTCAGCGTTATTGGCACAGCTGCTTTGGCATTTTTGCTGCTTTATGCACCAATTTCCTCTATATTCATAATTGCAGCAATTCTTGGGTCTGTTTTCAAACTATATTAGAAAAAGTAATTTTAACCAACGTTTATAATTTAAGCACATTTGTATTGCCGAGTGATTGTACAGCTGGATAGTACTAATTAACCGATAAACTGCTAAATTCAGTTGTTGAAGTTTGGTAGAAATTTTTATACAAAAATATTTACCATTTCCTAACACTTACTTGTTGATATTTCAATAACCTGTCAATCTTATTGCAAGAAAACCTTGTTAAAAAAGAGTTAAAGAGTTTGCATAAATGATAATGAAGCAAAAATGGTAGATTTTTTTGAGATTAAAATAGTTTGGAACGAGATTTATAATTAGTCAATAATTACAGTTAATGGCAGATTTCGTTTTAAAACTAGACTTACGTTTTCAAATGCCGAAATATCCGAAAATGAAATGCTTAGATGACTAACAACGAAAAAAAAACAAACAATTTTCCAATATCATTGTCAAGCCAAAAGTAAAACAGTTTCAGTTTCTTTATGACTGGTTATTTGCCAATTGGTTTTGAGTATGGTGTTGAACTAACGTTCCCTATATCGGAAAGTACAACATCAGGTCTACTCAATCTTTCAGCACAGGTTCTTGACCAATTATTATTTTATTTAGTTTTATGTTTTTTAGTTATACGATTAAATAGGAAATATCTGGTAAATATAATTAATTTCAATGAAGATTTAATAAATTAGAAAAGCGAATTTAAAAAATATGCTTAATTAGCTACGAAAATAATAAAATTTTCAGATCTTTGGCACTCTTATAATAGTAACCTTGGGGCAGATATTAGGATCCGTTTCTGTTCTGGCATGTAATATTATTCTTACAGCTATTTTATTTGTTGGCCTTATACTGACTAGTAAGTGCTCGTTTAATTTCTAATAATTTACTGAAATGCAATGAACCAAGTTTGTTTTAATTTATTGCTTACCATCAATTTCTTATTAGAAATGAATATGGCGATGTTAGGGGTAACTGAATTAATATTTTTAGTGTTTATAAAATCGGATTTAAGGCGTCAAAAAGCTCACGAGAATCTGAAATGTGATGTCGGTTAGTGGAATTTCAAAATCTGAACTTTGTGTTTTCAAGTCACTACTCTATTTTTATCCGATATAAGACCTATTTAGCGGTATTATCGTAGCTTTAACTGCTGAACTTTCCAGGTATATAGCCGACAGCGCTACAACTTAGTGACTAAATTGGATATCTCAGTGCCGATACTCACTTACAGTATGCCTTAGCCGTGTGCCACGGTGCTCATTTCTGCTATTAATTGCATTCCGCTATCTGTTATTAATGTTAATCTCATCTGTAGTGCTGATATCACTTAGAAAAATTCTAATTGTTTTTATGGAACTGGAACTTTTTTTTTTCTGAACAAAAATTACTTTGTCATTTTCAGTAGGATAATGACCACAATTACCTGCTCAGTATTACTGTTTTTTATGTCGTTTCAAGAAAAAACTTTGATTTTAATTGTTAAGCAAAAAAAAAGATACATTTGAAAATTGCAAAGTTAGGTATCATTTTATCGTAAATACAACAGAAAAAGAGCTTACTTATCAATGTCTCGCACAAAGTTATACTGAAAACAGAAGTTTTTGAGCTGAGTTAGAATGAAAATATATTTGGAAGTAATAAAATAATTTTCTGCTTTGTTGTTAACAGTTTAGACATTGGTTCATCTGCAAAATGTAGTGCAGCATTGGTAAAAACTCACTGATTTCCTTAAGCCGGAATATACAGTATAAAAGCAGATCAAGCTTTGAGGAGAACTATAGCGAAAACTGTTTGCTCTGTTATACAGAGGCTAAAAATAGTCCTCTGGATGGCTGGGCAACAAAACGTCATCAATATAGAATTTTGGACATGTTTCACTGCTTCTGCAACAGCTGTACAACAAAAGTTTTTTGGTCTGATTGATGACTTATTTATTTGGCTTAAAACCGTGATACCACTATTTTCTGCCAGTAAATAGACAATAGTTTCCCTAAGATTGGTAAGGAAATAGAATTCTTTTGACAGAAAACAAAAAAGATGATCTTGACTTTCTGCCTACCAAGAAGAATGACGTTTTTAAGACGTTATGCCACTGACAAGCTGAACCAAGTTTCAATTAAATGATAATCTACTAAAACAGCTGTAGTACGAAAGAGTTTTGCAGCAGTCTACTTTTTAAATCTAAATTTCTGGCAGTTGTTAAATATAACACGGTTTTGGTATTTAAAAGCAGAACAAATTTTTATGCAAAAATGTCCAGTCGTGATTTCGACTTTTTAAAATTCTCGTAAAATTTATAATCTTTTTTTTTTTGTTTTGACAACCACTGCTCTTTTATTCAAATGGCTTCATCCGGACTGAGAAAACATTCTGCGCATTATACAATAAAATTTCTGAAATATTTATTACACTTACTTATCCTCAATGACGTTCAGTCTTGTTTTTTTTTTTCTTTTTGTCGGACCCCTCTGAATCAAATGTGGCACTAAAGGGGTTGCTCACATTGAATCAAAAAATAAAAAGAAAACATTGGAATATTAAAATAAACAACCTGTTAAACAATTATAATCGATCTTTAATTGAATAAATGAATGAATAGTTGTAGCTGAAAAACAGCAACTATCGTTCGCATTGTTTGGGAATCACCAGCAGTTTACTACAGTTTGTAGAAAAAGGGCCACAAATAGAAGAAATGAAAAAGAAGAAAGGAAGAGGTGTTATTAAACGGTGAAAATAAGGAATATGATGAAGAAAATAAAAAGTTGCTGAAATAACCTTTCAGTACATAGATCGGTGTAGACAGAGGACAATAACTAACACGGGTTCGAGGTCGTTGTTGCCCCGTGATGAAACGGCTGCAGCAATGTATTTCGAGGGTCTTCCACCACTCATTTGTTCACCATGCGCATCTCGGTGGCCGTCGTTTTCTACACATATCTCTCAGTATTTCTTCTTG